AAGATCTGGGCACCCATAGCAAAAGATTCCACTGAGCTTATTGGGTTAAAGAATGTGATTAAGAAGAACAAGCAGGAACGAGATCAAGATAGCTTGCACCACACCAATCTGTTTGACAGTCACATGCTGTGGTTCCTTATGCATCACCTGACACAAAGAAGTCGTCAGCAGCACTGGGGAGATCCTGAAGTTGAAGAGTCAGATGAAGACCTGTCTGAGTCTTCCAGTACCTCAGATACATCCGAGGAGGAGGAGAGCCAAGATCGAGTGCAGTGCTTGCCGTCCTGAAAGTGTCACACCCAGTGCAGCTTACAGACCGCCTCAGCATATTGGACTTTGAAATTTACTTGACCAATTTAGATTTGTTTATAGATTCATAGATTTACCTTTTGTCTTTTATTTTGCAAAATATGTACTAAAATCCATCTCTTCTATCTCTTTCCTCCCTTCTTCCCACATATTCTTCCTGATTCCTCTCCTTTTACCTGGTTTCTTTACCCCCCCCTTATCCTTACATGAATTCATGAGCAATTTATTTATGCCCTTTTCCCCCTATTTTCTCCTATAATTGACTTTTGAAGTTTATTCATTTTATTGGAAAATGCATAACCTTATTAGATATATCTTGTCATTTCTAATATTCTGAAAACTATTACCTTTTTGACATTTTCTAATCTTCAGCAGTTTATTCTGAAAATCAAATTCTTCTGCAGACCTAATAATTTCAGAAATGTATTTATTCTTTACAAGTAAAGTAAAATGAAACAACCCATGGTTTTGACTGGTACTGACACTCGTCTGCCCACCCTCCCCTCTCCCTTGCCCTTGCACACTCAGAAAAGGAGAAGAAAAAATGGTGGGTAAATAAATTTCTTATCAGATAATTCACTCCCTTAGAATAAATACCTTGGGGTTATCCACATTTTCTGAATCTCTATATTAATAATATTGATTAATTTGAGCACACTGAAGCTAGTAAGAAATAAATTTAATCACATGAAATTGTTTACTCTGCACTTTCAATTTTCTCAAAGTTTCATGGTTGAGAACTCCCACAGGATTACCTTCTAGGGATCCCTTCTGGGACAACCATCTTTTGTAAGATATTGGGCAGGAATATAAGAATCCCTCATATTTAAAAATATACATTCCAATTAATTTTTTTTATTTTTATTTTTTATTAAATGATAGCTGTGTACATTAATGCAATCATGGAGTACAGTGTGGTGTTTTCATATACAATTTGTTTATTGCAGCCCACATTCCAATTAATTTTTAAAAATAATGTAGTGAAATTGTTTATACTTACAGATAACTATTTGATAAAATGGGAAGCAAATTCCTATTAGACATTATGCATTGCTACACTCTCAGCTGAGTTTAAATTGCTTTAAATATAGTTTTAAGTCTTAAGTTAAATTGAATCTCCAATTACAATTCATTAATTTTTATTTTTGTTTTATACATGCTATTTGTGTGGGTAAATGCAGAAGATCACTTTCCCCCCAGCACTCACAAACCATAACACACCCTTTGCAGACATTTTTTGGGGAAAGAAGGATATAATGAAACATCTTATGTCCTGACGTTGGCTTTCCTTTAATAATACTCCTTGAAATGGGTAGTATCTCTGGTCCCTTGGAAGCAAGTAGAGAAACTTGCATAATGAGATTAGACTTTGGAATGCAAGATGACCTGACCAAAGCTCCTGCTCACTGAGATTCAAGTTAGGAACAACTGCCCTGAGATTTGGAGGGCTCAAGAAACCCCTACCAAAGTCTGCTATCAGGAAATGACCTTAAGAGTCCCCCTAAAGAGCTTACATTGAAAATGCAGTGAGCCTGAGCTGAGCACTGCTGTTTAAAGCAGGGCATAAGAAGAGAGAGTTATAAACTGGAATCCAAAGTTTGGGGCATCATGTATAATTTCATGGGATGTGAACAGATAACAACATTAACCAAACATTAGAAAAAGATCATTTGGGATTTTGGATGACAATGGGCCTTAGAACTATAGCAAAACCTGGGCCAGGCATGGTGGCTCACACCTGCAATCCTAGGAGGCCAAGGTGGGTGGATTGCCTGAGCTCAGGAGTTGAAGATCAGCCTGAGCAAGAGTGAGACCCTGTCTCTAAAAATATCCCTCCCAGCTACTTGGGAGGCTGAGGCAAGAGAATCCCTGCAGCCCAAGAGTTTGAGGTTGCTGTGAGCTATGACACCCCAGCACTCTACTGAGGATGACAAAGTGAGACTCTGTCACTTAAAAAAAAAAAGAAATAGCAAAAGTGGGTTCATTACACTTAGTTATTTTTCCACCTGCTATTTGAGAGCAGGACTGCTGCTGTGGGGGATTTATACTGTGCCAACTTAGCTAGGCTAAAACTTTGCTCAGTTCCCTGCATAACTCTAAGATTGCTTGTGCTACCAGAGACATTTGGCAAAAAATTTGGAAAGCAGAAGTAAGCCAGCAACCATATTTGTTTTACACTCAGAAAGTAGGAACTGGGGTACCAGGTGCTGCTGAAGTTCATGAAATTTTTTTCTGGCTTACCTTACTGGTGTGGGATAGCAGCTAGCCCACAACTGCTCCAACTCTCCCTCATATCCTTTTTCAGTTTCATTAATTTCACAAAAAGAGTGCCTACTTTTCCCACAGGGCACTCATGTCATCAAAGTTGGAAGTTTGGGGACAGTGAAGGATCAATAAAAGTTCCAGTCAGTCCTTGTGAGTTCCCTATATCTTTGTGGATTTCCTTTATCCTTACTTCCCCCTCATCCTTCTCTCCTGCCTGGCTGGCCTGCTGACTGAAGGCTCTAGCACCAGAAGCAAAAACAAAAGCCTTACTAAGACTTTTAAACAAGATCCCACAATTTAATAAGGCCTGGACTGTAGTATAAACTGCTTATTACATAATACATATGTCACCCACAGTGTTTCTGTTCCTCTGGTTGTACCCTTAGTGATACAACCTCCTCCATATGCTTTGGACTGAGTAAGTTGCTACTTTTATTTTGAAACTGTCATTTGGTGGAATTAAAGGCCCTTACAGGAAGGGGTTGAACTTGATATATATGTGTATTTTATACCTATCTACCTACCTATAGATAGATAGATAGATAGACTTAAATGATCTCAGAAAAGAATACAGACTATGACAACAGAATTCCATTACAAATGAATGACATAACTTTTCTGAAACACATGGGGGAGGAAAGAAACTGGCTTAAATAACTTTGTCAAATAATGTTTTGAAGGGCAACTGTAAAGCTAAAGACAAAAAGAACTATATGTAAAAACTTAACTCTAGCTAGTAAATGTGTTGCTCAATGGGGTTCAGGTTACTAATTCTCAACCTGCTTTACACGTATATCCAAGGTTGAACAAGTAAATAATAGATGATGGATGGTGAGAACCAAATTTCTTACTTTCAGACAGGGAAATCTTAGTTAAACAAGGAGGAAAGACTAAAGAACCCTGTGGTACTAGATTAAGGAGATTATCAGTATGATCTCACAATTAATATATATAACAGATGTGCGTATTATATACAGATGTAGAAGTAATTATAGAAATGTGTGCATACGTGAGTTAGTGTACATACATATGTTTCATTGTCCTCTCTACTAAGAGGCCCTTGGTAGGGAGCAGTGACATCTCAGTAGCAACAAGAGCAGCCAGCACCCAATCTTGATTTTTAGCACTATTCTCCAATAAAAGGAATTAGGAATCCTTGGACAAATGGCTGATTCTAGGGCTGAGGCAGGGAATATACAAGATAAACCTGGAGCATCTTGTAGTGTCATATATCAGAAAAGTCTTATAAACAAAGATGAGAGCATTATCAAAGGAGCACATGAACTAAATGAAAGTTTCCAACGTCCAAAGCTAAAATAATTTGAAAAATAACTCTGAGCAGTGGCTCATGCCTATAATCATAGCACTCTGGGAGGCAAAGGTGGTGAATTGCCTGAGCTTAGGAGTTCAAGACCATCCTGAGCAAGAGTGAGATCCTCATCTCTACTCAAAATAGAAAAATTAGCCAAGTTTTGTGGCAGATGCCTGTAGTCCCAGCTACTGTGGAGGCTGAGGCAATAGGAATACCTAAACCTAGGAGTTTGAGGTTGCCGTGAGCTTTGAAGCCATGACACTCTACCCAGGGCTGAGAGTCTATTTCAAAAAAAGGAATAATTTGAAAAACAAAACAATTAATGTGGTACCCAAGGCATAAAATGAATATTTATGATTCCATGCTGATAAATAAGTAAATAAATAAATAAGGGAGCAGAGACAAGTCCCTCTTCAGAATAATTCCCAAAACAGCAGATACTTCTTCCTTCTTCAGGAGATGGAGTTTAATTCCACCCTGTTTGAGTGTGGGATGGCTTTATTGTCTTTCATTCAAAGAACATATAAAAGAGTATAAAAAGAGGAAAAATAGTTACTTTATAGTAATGTGACAAACACCACTTAACCACGTGATGGACATTAACATCACCAGTGATAAATCACATGGATTTCATATGCCTTCAATGTGATACAGCAATAAGACCATTCACCCCATGATTATTATTCTCTAAAACCTATAACCCCAGTCTAGTCACGAGGAAAATATCAGACAATATCAAATTGAGGAACATTCTACAAAACAATTGGCCAGTACTCATTAAAACTTTCAAGGTCACAGGAAATGAGGAAGGCTGAGAAATTATCACAGACATAATAACTAAATGCAATGTGTAATCCTGGATGGGATACCGATAGAAAATAAGGGCACTGGCCTGAGCCCAGAGAACGCCCTGCAGCACCACCTCCCACGCAGCAGGCGTCTCTGTTCTGAGCTCGGAGGCGTGCGGGCTCCCAGGCAGCCCCCGCGTGCCCTGCGTAAGGGGCGAGGTGGCACCTGGCGTGCCGCGCGCGCCCCCGGCTTCCCCCAGTCCGCGCACGCGGACCAGCCCAGGGTAGCCCCGTGCAGGGAACACAGGCTGGACGAGGGCCCCGCCATGGCGAAGCCTGCAGCGGTGGCGTCGAAAGACCTGAGCCAGGTGCCAGACGAGGAGCTGCTACGCTGGAGCAAGGTGGAGCTGGCGCGGAGGCTGCGGTATGCCCAGGGCGAGAAGGTGGGCCTCATGCTGGAGCACCGTGGCCTACTGCGCCACGTGAACAGGCGGCTGCATCAGCACCTGCTGGAGATCCGCAGCCTCAAGGACGTGAACCAGAGGCTGCAGGACGACAACCAGGAGCTGCGCGAGCTCTGCTGTTTCCTCGAGGACGACCGGCAGAAGGGGCGCAAGCTGGCACGTGAGTGGCAGAACTTCGGACGCCATGCGGCCGACGCCGTGTGGCACGAGGTGGCTCGCTCTCAGCAGAAGCTGCGCGAGCTCGAGGCGCGCCAGGAAGCCCTGCTGTGTGAGAACCTGGAGCTCAAGGAGCTGGTGTTGCTGCTGGATGAGGAGCGCACCTCGCTGGCGGCGGCGGGAGGTGCGGGCAGTGGAGGTGGCGGTGCGGGAGCCCTCATCTCTATCCACAGCCAGGCCAGCCTGAGCGGGCCACTGGTGGGGGGCGCAGCGGGTGCAAGGGCCCGTGACGTGGGCGACGGCAGCAGCACGTTGAGCACAGGCAGTGGAGGCAGCCCGGACCACCATCACGGTGTTCCACCCCCACTGCTGCCCCCCGGGCCGCACAAGGCCCCCAAAGGCAAGGCTGGAGCTATGCTTCATTTCCCCAATGGCCTGTGTGATCCCTCGTCCACGTACATCAGGCAGCTGGAGACCAAAGTGAAGCTGCTAGAGGGTGACAAGCTCCCCACACAGCAGGTGGGCTTTGGGGAGTTCCGGATGCGGCAGAAAGGCTTCTCCCCATACCACTCGGAGTTCCAGCTTGCGTCCCTGCCACCTTCCTACCAGGACTCGCTGCAGTATGGCCTGGCCTGCCCTGTTCCTGAGCTGCCCTCGCCATCCCCTGCTGGCTACAGTTCTGCAGGACAGAAGCCCGAGGCTGTTGTGAACGCCATAAAGGTCCTGAAGGTACATGAGAACTTGGCCTGGCAGCTCCAGGACAGCTGTGAGGAGGACCTGAGTGAGAAGGAGAAGGCCATTGTTCGCGAGATGTGCAAAGTGGTCTGGAGAAAACTGGGAGATGCTGTCAGTTCTAAGCCCTCCATCCGGCAGCACCTGACTGGGAACAAGTTCAAGGGGCCTTTGTAGGGCCGTTCTTCCATGGACATAGGCTGGCTCTGCCTGGATTCTCAGGGAGAGTTCATGCCCCAGACATGGGCAGGACCTCTGGCTGAGCCACTGTCGTCTTCTTCTGTGGTGAATTGTACCTAGGACACTGCCTTCCCTGGCCTGGCCGCTGTGGGTCTCACATGCTGACAGCCAGGCCTCCATCTGCTGCCTCACACACCAGCAAACTGGGAGGATGAGAAGCTACTGACCATTCACTGCAGCAGAGCGGCCTCCATGAGGAGAGGCTGAAGGCCCAGGAATGTCCCAAGCTTCTCTGTCCTGCCCCCCACCCCCAAATGCCACCTGCACTGGACAGAGGCCATTGGATCCTCATGCAGGGGCACCACTTCTTGCCTCTGTGGCCTGGCCCCCAGCTCACCAAGAACTGGGTTCTCTTTGTCATGGACGAACAAACTTGCTGGTTCATGGCTGGTTGGAGGCTGCTTTGGGGTCTCAGCCTCTTCCTCTAACACTCAGCTGTGGGAGCCAGGGCCCCTCACTGCCTGGGGATCCCTCCTCAGCTGTCCTGATGTCAGCTGCTGCTTGTTTTTAGAGTTCATCAGCCCCCACCCCACCCCCAACACACTCTGCAGTGCCCCCCCCACGCCAGGTTATGCCCCATCTTTCGTTTCCTTCAGCCCAGTGTCTGGGGCACATTCCTTTCCGTGGTTTCCATGATGGGCCAGCTTACATAGGAAGGTCCTATGGAGAGTTTCTAGAGAGCCTCACAAGACTATCTTTGTTTTCTTTTTTCTTTTTAGATGTTTCACAACATTTTTTTTTATTTTTTTAAATAAATTATTTTTTATTAAATCATAACATTGTACATTGATGCATTTCAAAACTATTAAGAAATGAGTATAATTGTGATGGATGTGTTACTTAGTTCAATGTAAACATTTTATATTGTATATCAAAGCAGTACCCTGAAGCACAAGACTTATCTTTGGATGGGTAGCACTGGGCCACAGCTCTGCCTTTAGTTGGCTGTGGCCTCTCCTAGGGCCCAGCCATAGACTGGGTCATTGTTGATGGAGCTGTCAGAGCCACAGTTGACAAAAGTTTTGTTCTCCTTGGGAAGGGAGGAGTCTCCTGACCTGGTTCTGGCTTTAATTTGCTGTATGACCTTCAACAAGTCACTCAGCCTTTCTGGGCCCCTGGTGGAAAAATGGGGTCTCTGAAGTTCCTTTCAACTCTTCTCCCAGTTCAAGGCCATCCATTTCCAAATGGTCTGGGTCCTCATTCAGACAAGCTGATGGGGTCAATCTGCTGGAGAGGTATTGGACAGGTGGGCTGGGCAGAGCTGAAGCCCAAGTTGAGCTTTGCTGCCTCACTATCCCATCAAAAGTAGTTATCTTCCCCTCTGAGCCTCAGTGTCCTCAGCTATAGAATGGGCAGCATAAGGCCCTCCTTACAGGGCGGGGGGGGGGTCACATGACACCAACAGTGTAAAAGACCTGTACAGACTGTAAAGTGTAATAGGTAACGTTTTGTATGCAGGGAGAATGAGGCCCAGAGTAGCTAAGTAATTTATGGCACATTAGAAATGAGATCCCAGAACCTGTGAGACAGGGACAGGCCACTTTGCTAACATCAGTGAATGCCCTTGTGCCAGCCTCTGGTGTCCACATGCACTTTGTCCAGCTTATCCATCCATCAGACTCCTACACCCTCCCAGTGGTGCTTAGAGCTTCATGCTACAGCACTTGAAGAGCACAAAGAGTTTGTCTTCCTATTAGCAAGTCTCATTTAGGTCCATGTAAAAGATAATGACTCAAGCAAGGGGTGAGAAATGGCTTTTCTCTTTCTCTCTCCAGCTGGGGACTTTATTCTGAGCATTTCCTGCTGGTGTCTGCCATCGGTGTCTTTGGGTCACACTCTCAGGGAAAAGACTTGCAGCCCTCACTGTGCCCAGGGAGTGCTGAGTGGGTGCTGGTCATGGGCATGGGCCTGCTGTTCTTGTTGAGAGTGTTATCAGAGGCTCCTTGGGGTCCTTAGGGGTGTGTGACCTGAAGCTGGAAGAACATCTGCTGGTCGTACCAGGTAATTCCTGCCCAAATGGGCAACTGAACTGGGGAGTGGGGGGGAGGACCCTTCTGGATCTTGGAGTCCAAAGAACCACAGAGCAGCCTGGGTGGGGGGTGGGTTCATTTTGGGTGGGAACTGAGTCTGGAGCCCATGTAAATCCTATTTGGATCAAGTTGGCTTGGCCACCACTGAAATAAGCAATAAGTAAAAACTCTTGGCACCTACAGATCTCCTGCAATTTGGCCAAGGGAATGGCAGCCTTGAAGCAACCTTTCCCCTCTGGAGGGGAAATGACCCCTTCCCTAATGCTACATTGGCATTCAGGGATCAGTGGAGCATTTCTTTCAGAACCCTCTTCCCTGTGATGCCCCTGAGCCAACACAGCAGTATTGGGATGGTTTTCTAGGACAATATTCTGTGACAAGTCGTATCGCAGACATACCATACTAGCTGATTAAAAAAGCCAGCAGTGACTCCGACCTTACATTCCTGGATGTAATAATGGCAGTTGCAAAGAGCAGAGCCACAAGCTGGAGAGGGTCAGATGGGGCCTCCTATAGGGGGACTTTCAGGAGGAGTGCAGCTCAGTGTGACTTCTGGTTCTGCTACTAGCAGGGTGACAATGGGTGATACCTCCCTTCTGGGGCCTTAGCTCTGAAAGCAGCTGGTGGAGTGTCCTTTCAGAAGCCACTTCCATTTCAAATGCTCCGATTCCAGATCTTGAAGTCCAGTGCTTGGCTTCAGGTGCCACTGTGATGAAATGCACCCTTCCAGCCTCACCTAGGCGGCCCAGCCATCCTGGGGTCATATCTGCTGAGCACATTTTGTAGGGTGGCACATTTTTATTCATCAGTTATTAGCTACACATCAGTGTTTAAAGAAGAAAAAGTGACCTTTCATTTTTTTTTCTTGAAACTTGAGAGGAAACAAAATACATACTACTGATTTTTTTTAAAGAAACTAAATGCATGACTACAGAGCAGTAGAGGTCTGTATTTTTCATACTGTGGAGAAGAGGGGGAAGTATTTGTGCTGCTTTTGGAGATGGGCTGGAACGTCTGGTTTCTGTCCCCAAGCCTGGCAGCTATGCTCTATTTTCTGTAGAAGGTGACTGTAATGAGACCTGGGGCCACCCCCTCACACCCCAGAGCTGTGCAGAGTCAGGAACCTGGGGATTCCTGACCCGTTCCTACCTTCTATCGAACAACTGTGATTTGCGGAGAGACAAAGAAATAGAACTTTTTGATAGTGTGGTAAAAACATTGATTTGAACTATTTTAGTAAAAGGAGTAACAAATAAGATTGTGACAATGTATACTTTGAGCTAGATAAATAAAGGTCTCTTTGTGAGCCGAAAGAAAGAAAGAAAAAATAAGGGCCTTAGTGGATACAGTGGCGAAATCTGAATAAAGTCTGGATTATAGTTAATGGTAATAAACCAAGTTTGGTTTCTAGTTTTAACAAATATACCAAGCTATGTCAGATGAAAACATTAGAGGGAACTGAGTGAGGAGGATGTGGGAACTATAATCTTTGGAACTTTTCTATAAACCTAAAATTATTTCAAAATAATAAAAAATTAAATACCAAAATAATCCATGAAAAAAATACCTAACCATAGTAGCCATAATAATTCTGGCAATGTTCAGAGTGTGAGTAGCAATAATTCAGTTCCTTTTTTGAAATCTATTTATTTTGTGATTCATACTGAGTAGCTTTTGTTATCCGTGACCTTTTGAAAATGTTCTTTCTTTGATCACTCTGTGACTCTTTTGTTTGATGATGTACTTCTGGTAAGTTGATTCTAATAAAATTCCAATAAAAACTGTAAATTGAAGTAAAGAGGAAAATTTTAAAGGGCAACATTTAGTAAATTCTTAAAAGAAAGTAATTTTCTTGAAAGGAGATGTATCACCAAAGTAAATTGTAAAGTACTTAGTATTTAGGAACGGAATAAAATCTTCATTCATAGCTGCTTTTTAAAACCACTGATAATTTAACACAAAACTTATCTCTCTTTGCATAAAATTTCATCAACATCTTTAGAATAGAGGCGGAGTAGAAGCCAGATTAGAGTTGGTTGAAGAGTATAAAGGAGGAGAAGAAATAAAAATAGTGAGTGTAGGCAAGACTTTCAAGAAGTTTTGATAATGCAGAAGAAAAATTGAGCAAGACCTAGAACAAGATGTAGAATTAACAGAGCATCGTTATACCTTAAGGTGAAGGATATTAGAAAAAAATTATGTTGACAGTAAATATCGCAATCTGAGAGAGAAATAAAATGACGTAGGAAAGAGTAGAAAACTCCAGGATTCAAGCATACGAGGAAATATGATCTAGAAACTAGTGGAAGAATGGCCTTCCTTAGGATCAGGCCAGACAATATAAATTCAGAGAAAGTCAATTGATAGACTTGGTAGCAGGAAGATTGGTGTGGGGAGACTGATGTTATTGTCTTGACTTTCTGTCCAGTAAAATATCAGGTGAAGCCATCAGTTTAGACTCCTGAGGGAGGGGAATTTTTAGTTGTGAAAAGAGAAGAGACACTTAAACCTATATGCTAAAAAACGGGGAAAATGAACTTTCTAGGGAAATGTTATCTTTTCAAGGAATTTAGAATTTTTTTTTCCATATACATGTGTTTCTTAGAGTTCCACTTGTTGCCTTCACCAAATTAAAAGGGCTTAAAATGTAATAACAATAACAATGCTTAAGATAAGGACTAGAAACAAAAACCTCGTAAGGAACGAACGACGATAAATACATTCAGAAAAGAAATCAGACGACTGCTGCATCAGAATATTAAGCAATAATAATAATAATGCAAAGAAAGTCACATTCACATTGTCAAATAAGAGTATGTCTATTATAAAATGCTTGGACGCTGAGGTTCAGTATGGAGTCATCAGTTAACTTCTTTTTTTTTCCTCACAGTCTCAAAAAATAGACAA